TGCGCCTGATAACAGTTGCAGTGCCACCCAGAGCTTTAAATCGCAAAGATCTGAGGGGTACTGCCACTGCGCTAGTCACTCTGAAACGTAAGTTGACAAGTCCCAGTGCCAGTAATTTCACCAGCACCCTTACCCTTTAAAACCGGAACACAGACATTACTGCTTGGCGGCAGAAATAGGTAATTAAATATTGTAAAGATAAATGTATTGAAATGTATATTTACAAAGAGCAACTCCTAGAGTTTCATGCTCATTATTCTCAGGGGAATCTGCCTTACGAATGAGTATGACAATTTTAATCAGTTTAATCATTATGACGATTTCAAGTGTAACTTGCTTACCTATGAAATAAAGATTATTAGATTTTAACTTTGACTTTGTCCTACCTTTTAATAGAAATTAATCGCACCCGTGGTAAGACCACATCTGCAAAATGACAACTTTTTAGAATAGAGGTTGAAAGATTTTGCGATAGAAATTAGTCGATAACTTTTTTATACTTAAATAGGAGTTAAAATTATAATAAAATTATAATATATATAGTGGAGACAAGAAATGGCTCTCAGGATGATGATGATGACGGTGATTCGAGTAAAGTAATATAGGTACCCTAATAATTAAATAATAAAATTGCTACGGAGATACGGTCATGACTTAGTGCTATAACACTAGCATAGACGCAGTTATCTTAATAACCTAACGCAATGAAGTATTACACGAGATGACAGTTACTCTTCGTCGTAAATCTGTGTTTTAAGAGACATGTGAGGAAGCTAATTGAACTATAATACTTCTTGCTGTTTTGCTGCGTTGTAAGTCTATTGAGTTAACAAGTAGCAATATATATAACATGATATCAAAGAATATAATACTTCAGAAAGACGAAAAAGTGTTTATAACAAATTAAAGAACCTCCTCATACAAAAGTGTTACTATTCTAAGGAAAAATTAAACATTCGATGATCATCAGAGAAGTGATTTTCTTTTCTTAGCCTAGTGTTGTCCCTTATTACATGCTCTTTAAAAATTAAATTTTGAGTTACTAATTAACAAACAAATTTAAATTTTTACATATTTTATAAAATAAATCTTACACTACGCAATACCTAAAAGATTTTACGAAAGACAAAGAAATCTGATCTCAAATTTTTTTTATTATTCTATTTTATATCTACAATTATAATAATTAGTATTTAAGATTCATTATTTTATTAATACTGCATTACGTTCTTAAGATATTTTACTATTTAAAACAATTTAATACTTTTGTTATTTAATTTAGTTGTTTTGGTTTTGTCTAATAAATTGCTTGTTTTTATTTCTAAGTCCTAGATACGCCCTTACAGCGCACATGTAATGTAAATTTTATTATGTACTTGCATGTTCGCATAATGATACTGAATATTAAAGCGGAAAAGTGTGATCACTTAATAGTTCAAGAAAAGGTTTTTTAAGTTAGATAGATAATCAGCGAAGATAAATTTCGATTACTATTGCAATTGTAGTATTATTCAGAAATCATGTTGCAAACCCTTAATGGTAATATATTAAAATTCAGCATACGATTACATTATGGAGTATATTTGACTGTGGTTTTACAACGTCTTATGAACTGCATTTCGACATAGAAAAGCAGTTTACTATTGCAGAGGTACCTATCATACCCACATGATCATCATATTAAGTCATTTTATAGCGCTATAAATGGTATAGATGCCTGAACCGATGTAAAAATTACGTATGTAATTACATTCATATCTACACATCTGGGCGTAATAATAACATTAAATGTGTCATAGCTCGAAACCTACGCATATGACGATGATTGATGGGGAGATGGTCTTTTGACTTTTATTGTAATTGTGCCATCAAATGTGGAGAGATTTTTTTTATTGTTATTGTGGTGTGTGGTGTGTAAAAGGGCATACTCCTCGTAAACAACTCAAATGTAACGGAGCAAACAAAACTGTTAACGCGAGTTTGATTAATCCGGTAAGTTCGTGGTTTGGTCTCAAGTTTGCTAGTGAGTGATCATTAATTAATAATTAATCTAGGAAATTAAACTATTTTTCCGGAGTTAAATCGCGTATTTTTGTTTTTCCAAACAAAACAACGTTTCGGTCATTTTAGAGGTCCCATGGTCATTGTTGACTGATTTAAGTCCGGAAAAATAGTTTCATTTACTATGTGTAACAATCGCGAAAACCTAAGAACTCGATAATAATTAATCTTATTATCACATAAACTATGTTATAAAAATACCAATAAAGAGTGAAGTAAGTGACTGACGTGATAAATTCAGGAGAAAGTAGAATTTCTCTATATTTTTTTTTATATTATACAAGTGACGGGACGAACAAATCGGGCATGGCCCAAAACGACACGCCTGACCATAGCAGCTTTCAACCTAATTCTTCGATTCGAAGATTCCTTTATTGTGATCGCCATCGTCTCTCATTGAACCCGATGTCAAATGTGGTAAAAAAAACAAAAAACTTTTAGTTATTCCTACGTTGACACTAAAGAGATGAATCTTATAACAATGGTTATTTTGCCTTTAAGTTTTCAATAATGATACTTTCAGAGAAAAATAAAATAATAAATAACTTTAAAACAATAACAAGATACATGATAACGTATTGTGTTCATCTGTCGCGTTGGCAGAGCTACAAAAATGTATGAAAATAAGAATATCTCTTGGAGATTCTCGCAATTAATGTGCGAAATTTAACCTCGCTCGAGAGGAGGTCCTGTGCCCAGCAGTGTAATACGTACGTAATTTACTTAAAGTAAAAATTTATTCGTGTAAAAACTGTTCTTACTACAAAACTCGCCATTTTCTCATAGAAATATTTATGAATTATGGAATCAATAATAATTGTCTCAAAAAAAATCAATATCCATTCAGCTACCAGCTAGCAACTATCAAAGATAACATCGAGTATTACACTGAAAAGGTAACAGGAAAACAATAAAAAAGTTTATAGTTTGTCTATAGAAAGTGGATTTATTTAACCAGAAACAATTAATATTGTATTAACACTTTACTATATCGTTATCAAATCTATGGTTATTACCATCAGATAACATTATTGCACACAATCTGCCAAAAAATGTTTCTAATCCAAAACAACAACTTTACAAATTCTTTCTAAGTTTGATGCAATCTAAACTGGCAGAAAAAATTAAGGATTGTTCTTTAAAGGGGTTTTTCGTTTCAGTTTTACAAAATTCCTTTACAACGACGTTATTGACAGATTTCCGGCTCGTTCGAAATATCGTGTTAAATCATTTAGCACTTATTTGGACGCAACTAATTTGCAACACATTGACAACTAACGTTAAAGGCGAACAATCTAACAAGTAACGTTGACATACCTAATTGTTATCATCAATTATCTGATTTTCACGGCTCTATGCCACATGTGTTTTTGGGACGATAAATAATGGATGTTCTAAAATAGATATCGTTGTGTTTTAGGAGTTTTTTGTAAGTAAGTAAGTGTTCCCATTGACTTATAATTGTAAGTCAATGAGTGTTCCCATATTTTTTTATTGCAAGGCATAAGCCTGCATGTTAGAATTTTTTTTTAAATATTTTTTTTTTTACAGTCAGCCGTGATCATAACAATTGCAAAGGGCCCGAAATATTGGTTTGTTTGAAAAAAAAAAAACAAATATACGTGATAAATAACGCACACACTCAACATAGCCCCGCACTAGGGAAACCCTGTGTCGCGGGTGCCATGGACACACACATAGACAACCACAAATTACACCCAAACTCACGAGAGAAATAAATGTAAGCCATACAAACATTTCTCCCGGCCCGGGAATCGAACCTGGGACCTCTGCGTGGCAGTCCGGCATGGTAACCGTTCGGCCACAGAGGCAGTTAAAAAGTGATGTAGATTCGAAAAAGAATCATTTCCTATATAACTGCCTCCGTGGCTGAAAGGGTACCATGCCGGACTGCCACGCAGAGGTGCCAGGTTCTTCTTATTTTTCTTAGGTTTTCACGATTCAGAATATTTATTTATATTTTTGATGTTCCGTAACTAGAAGTTTTTAGTAACTAGGAGTGTTTATAAAACTGAAATACTTTTTAATGCATTTTACTAAAAACCGAAATAAAAGGTTATGAAAATCATACTTACTTATATATAAAAAAATAGGCTTGAATATGCTAATAGTGAATAATATATTTTTCGCAACGCCAAGTATTTAAAAAAATACATTTTTTGCCTTGCTGTAGCAGAATATACTTATTTCCATTACTACTATTTCTGATTCATAAATATTCATGGAAAATTGAGAAAAATTAAATTTTATTCGTCGCGGTCGGGTATTTCTAGGTTCAAGGCAATATTTTTAAAATTAAAAAAATGTTTAACATGACTTCAAACATTCTAGTTAAGTCAATAAATCACAAGAAAAAAACAATTGCCTGCTTGAGCTATTTTAGACGCTTCGCAAGGTTAAGCAGGGTTAAGCCTTATTTTTCTGGTCTATTACGAAAACAAAGCGCTTAGTTGACACAGTTTAGTTAACATAGCGGTTACTATCTTATCGAGGAATGATCGATTCTATGTTGTTTTATCTTCCACACTTGCTACCGTTCAACTAGAACTAAAAAGTGTGCCGTTAAAATACAATAGAAAACTCGAAATTATTAAGAATAGACAGAGGCAGGAAAAAGTAAAAAAAAAACTATTGAAATTTAAAAAGATGATATTAAAAAAAGTTGATTTCTTTAAATCGCTCTCCTGCAATGTTTTCAAATTCACGTTACACGTTTTACCTTTCCAACGTCGATATTTAATGAATAAGTTTACGCAGAAACATCTTTAAACATTTGTCCGAATAAAATAAAGGTTACAATTGACTATGGAAACGAATAAAGTTTGCATTTATGCAACTGAGTGATTTACTTTAAAACTTTTTAGAAAAATATGTCTACTAAATTATGACTAAATTACAACAAAATATTAAACACTCACCTTTCTAAATTTGAAAAAGTGTGAAGCAGGAATAAAAAAGGACTCCTCTAAGCACAAAAATAATTCACACTACACTTTAAATATTGTTCGTTTTTTTTACTGAACGTAAATTCGGATTAAGTTTATGTATTTTTATTCGATAAGTTGCTCGCCCGCTGCATACGACTGTCGCGAGTTTTTGATTGTTGGTATCGGATGTTTGAACGAGCCGCCTCGAGAGAGATGGAAGAAAGGGCGGGAAATTATATACACGTGTAGCACCATCTTTTGGCATAAGCAATAATTATTATACAGCGACATCTGTAGGCGAGTAGAATTATTAACTAATAGCAAGTCAATACTAACGACATCTAGAGTTGAATAGGAAAAATAATCCTGTAGCGTCTACGTTCGAATTTTGCTTTTATAATAGCATAGTTTTGGGATCAATACGTTAAGACCTAGACCAATGATTCAGCCATATTCCATCAATGTGGGGAGTATTATTTCATCAAACTAGATTGTATATGAAACAAGTTTGTTTTGAATATGTAACTTTTTTATTACATTTTAAACTTAGATAATTATAGTCAATAATACTAAGTCATTCTTCACTCAACTAAAATTAAACATGCTAGTCAGTGAGGTGAGACACGTAAAAGAGTAACTATTTTGTATATTTATAAGATATATAATAGAGTATAATTTCATACTACGCGATATTCCATTGTAAAAATGTGATCATTGCTCTCAGTGATAATTTTAGTCAATCGAAAGCGAAAATAATAAATCAGCGATTTTTCTAAATTATACAACATACTTATCGTAACAATAAACATACATTCGACACTTAATCTTACTTTAGAGTACATTGACAATGTTGACAACGTATACAAGTTGTCCATGAAGTAAATTATGCAGAAGTTAAGAGTTATATAGAAGTTAAATACAATTTAAATACGGCTAGGTGTTACAAAATAGTTAGTCAAGTTGACAACACCATTTTGGTACTTTAAAAAATCGTGTGAAAATGTGTGATTGACAGATTTTCGGCACGTTTTTGGCAGACTTCAACCTATTACTTTAGTGATAGATTATGCTGCATGCAATTTATTGGCATGAATTAAACGAAGCGTTATAATTGTCACATGCAGCGGTAGTTGCCTAGCATAAGTTTGTAAAGCTTTAGAGATAATTTTTAAAGAGTTTACTGCTGTTATGAAACTAGTTGCAACGGCCTATGGGGATAGCAAGTGGCGCAAATGCAATTAAATACTATTTCATAGAAGTTTACGTATGCCGCACGGCTACGGTTTTATCCTAAGTCTATCGAAGGGCTTACGTAAACGCAACTATCAAATTAATAAGCAAAAATATCTGTATCAGTCTAAATTGTACGAGTGCTAAATAGAGGACAGTTCGCAACTGGTGTTATCAACACTACTTTGTTTCACCTTCACCTCGGATACAATTACGGTTTACATCTACTGGTACTTTTTGAACGACACAAGTCGTTACGTTACGTCTACGAGTTTTACTCTATTAAGACTTATTTTAAAATACAACATTGAATTACGGACTGACAGATTAATTGTTTAGCTTTACAAATTGCCCAAAATATTAAAAAGAAGATTTATTAACAGGTTTTTGCATAAGAAGAAATATTGCCGAGATGTAGGCAGTTCGCCATTTTGGTTTTGTCATGTGGTTGAAATATGCGATTGTTTTTTTAAGCTAGGAGCTAAAACATATAAAAAAGTACGTAGTTCCATTAATCTTGTAGTAGCCAACAATTAATATCTCAAAACACTTGATCAATCGACAGAACGTTCAAATAGTTTCACAAAGTTTTCTTAATATTTTATGCATGATCAAAACATTCATAGTTTGGTTGATACGTGAGTATTAATCTATGCATCGTCGTCTGGGCAACGAGTAGGCGTCGGCTTTGGAGATTCTTTAACGTCTTTACCAGCCTCTGAAAAAATGAAACGAATGTTACTCTAAGGGCTAAGATGGCGACTTTTGTAGTCTTACTATATACGAATAATGTGGTTTAAAATTACAGTTATTAAAGTGGTTTTGTTACGATGACAGCTGTAACGAAAGGCCTGCAGATTTACGAAATATAAAATAATAAATTAATATTCGGACCTGGGGGAACGATGGCTCCTTTTTGATCAAGTTTTATGCCAGGCTTCAAAACCATAGTGCCGCCCTGGAATATAAAAAAAAACATAAATCGCTTAGCATTTCTGCATGTACACACGCATTTTATAAAAATATGCGCTTTGACCATACAAAATTGATTTCCAAAATATAAAATACGACGAATTAACTCTGGATTTAATTGAGAGTTTGATGGTTAACAACATATTTAATTAAATATGACTTTGGACTTCGATGATTTTGAATAGGTCTTACCTTCATCTCAAGATATCCTTTCTTCTGCATGTCTTCCACAGCAGCTTTGGGCATAATGATCTTCTGGACTTTCACCATTTTCTGACCTATTTGCATCTGACACAATTCACCAGCTGCTGAAAAGTAAATAAGAACTTTGATTGTTAATATATTTCCTAAAAGTATAATTACCATATCATTTAGTTTTTGGAAGTCAGAGGACACATGAAACCATTACAAATTTGTATAAAATGTGTAATATTTTAAATATCCGAAATTAAAAAAAAAAAAAAATTGTCAATAATTTGACTATATAGACAACGGCATGCAAGTAGACGCCGTATACACGATTCGGAAAGCTTTTGATAAAATTGATCACAAACTATTACTTGATAAGATAGCCTTTAATGGTATACCAGGGAATTTACTCCGTTGGTTCTCATCTTAAGTCTGCAATAGGTCGCAGAGAGTCGTTGTTAATGGATATCATTCAGACATAATCGACGTAACATCGGGTGTACCTCAGGGATCAATCTTAGGCCCGTTATTATTTATTATATTTTATAACTGACATTAAATTTTGTTTTCAGCACACAAATTTTCTTTTATATGCTGATGATTTAAAAATTTATAGAAGCATTACTAGTGATATTGACTGTACTTTACTTCAACGTGATCTAGATCATTTAACTCACTATTGTATCATAAATAAACTCAAGTTAAGTATTCCAAAATGTAATGGTATTAGTTTCACGAAAAGGAAGATGAAAATTACATATATTTATAAACTTTGCAATAACACATTAACAGTAGTGGATTCCCTGCGAGACCTCGGTGTAATCTTAGATAATAAGTTACATCTCGACCTACACATTGACTCCATCGTTGCCAAGGGGTTTCGTATGTATACATTTGTCATGAGAACTGCCAGGGACTTCTCTCATCTATCAACTTATCTTTACTTATACATTAGTCTGATTCGACCTCAAGTGGAGTATGCATGCTCAATTTGGGACCCTCACTATAAGAAATACTCAGAACAAATTGAAAATTCAAGCTAAATTCCTTAAGACGGTAAATTACAAAATATATAGAAGAAGTACACCACCATACGAGAACTTGCTATCTACATAAGTTTAGAATGCTAACACTTCAATAGACGAATGCTTCTTCAAGCTGTAACACTCCATAGACTTTGTCACAATTTGATTGACTGTCCAGATCTTGTGCAAATTATTAAATACAATGTATCCACAATAGTTCATCGACGACGTACGCGCTCCTACCGGCTATTTAAAACGGCGCGCTGCCGAACAAATGCTGACAAGCGAGTTCCCCTACGTCGCATTTTTTCTCAGAACAATGATTTGTTTAGTGTTATTGACATATTTCATTTACCTGCTTCTAAATTTAAAAAAGCTATTATTGAAGCACTGACCTAATTTCTTTGTTTACTTTTTACTTGTTTCAGTTTTGCCTTACCCATTGCACACGGCAATTTCAATTTCAACTTTATTAATATGTGGATAATGTTGTTGATTGTACGTGTACTTATGTCACTTAACCTAACAACAAATGTAATCATACCATGTACAATTGTTTGTTATGCCTTGAAAATAAATAAATAATCACTTTAATTATTTAACAAAACAAAAAAATGGTTTAATGATTTGATTTACTAATCGTGTACTTACGTCGAGCATTAAGCGGCAACGGGAGCGGCTTGACTCCTGGAGGCAGAGCTTTCATCGATACCTAAAGGAGTAAGTAATACGTCAATTAGTTTTAATTTTTAATCAAAATATTTAACTTTAAGTTTAGATGCTATGTTGTAGGTTAGACATACCTTTTTCAAAGTTGGACCAGGTGGTGTGGTCGCCTCTGGTTTCTTTTCCTCTATAGGTTGTTCTTTAGTTGTATCCTGTGAGAAATCATATGAGTTATACAACAATAACGCACACACTCAAGACAAAACTAGAAAGGACTTTTTTAGTATCTGCTTTGGTAAAAGGTCAGTTATCTACTGCATTTTTTACATGACACCATTAGAATTACTTTAAAATCCAACTTCGACTTCTTAGGTCAGTAGTATGTCCTAACCAGTAAAATCATTTCCGAAAATCCGGTTGCTGCATGTTGTGCTTTCCAATCGTTTTTAAGTCTAATATTTGTAGTTGCAAAGTATTATGTATTGTAGTTAAATAATGTGTACTGTGCTTTTAGACGGAATAAATTATTTCTATTATATTCTACAGTAACCGTATAAGGTAATGGCGCTAGTTAGTACAGTACTTACAGCGTGACCAGCTTCCTCAATCTTCTCCGCCTGTTTGTCATGTTTTGTTTCAGTTTCTGGCTCTACTGGCGATTTTGCCTCAGCAACGGTACTGTTGTCAGTTTCATTCTCGGGTTGGCTCTCAGTTTCCTCTTCAGTTTCTTCTTTCTTTAGTTTGGCAGGTCTACAATTTATTAAATTAATACAAAAATTTGTATAATATTCTAAGTTTTTGACTTCGTTTACGCTTCTAAATTTCATACGATCAGGTAACTTGCATCATCTCTTTGAAAAAAATGTAATAAAAGACAGTATTCAGCAACGTGAGGAAAAACTGAAAAGCATGGGTAAAATATAATTTTGAGACTACAAGAAATAATAGTGCAATAAAACTAACATATCCTGTGGCTCCTTGCGCGGTCGTCCTCTCTTTCTAGGCGTAGGTTTCTCTGCACTAGCGGTTGTAGCTGCAGCAGAGCTTGCGGCTGCGGTAGGTGCCGGTTTCGTCGGTTTTTGTTTTAGGCTAGTGCGACGAGTCTTAGGACGACTCTGGAAAACAGCAGACAGCTGTGAAGCTTAATTGCTTTTTTATATACCTAAGAGGAAATTAGGATATTATATGGTGTAACACTATTTAAGACTTCTTGTATATACAACATTGTCCAAAATATTATTATAGCATCCATATGGAGAAGTTCCGTAAGTCACAATTTTTCAAAAAAGTCTAAAGATAAGTTTTATGTACCTCCGGTTTATCTGTTTCCACATATTCTTCATCATCATCCTCAGTTTCATCGGAATCTGGTTCAATTCTGTAATGTTATAACACAAAATACATAGTAATACATGCATATTCACTTGAAAGTTATATGTACGTAACTTATGAATTTATCAATATACTTAAATAGGAAAACGGTAGACATTTTCTAAAGGTAACCTGAACAAAATTGACAAAGGCAAAACGTGAAAAGTTTAGTCGCCATTTAAGTAAATGACTGTAAAACTTGGCTATAGAGGTTTACCTGTCACGTATCATTTTAGCATAGTCTTTTATCTTGGATGGCCGAGACGATCGACGAATGCCGTCTTCGCTGTTGTTTCTGTCGTTGCCCCCATTTTTCACAGCACCTTGCTGTAATAACCATTATATTTCAATTTAATAATAATGACATAATATCGTGGTCTGATGACGACTGTTTTAAGGTATTGTTTTTATATTCTATTGCTTGATTGACTTGACAAACGGTGTGACTGTGTTATACTTAAAAACAACTACAACACCATAAAAATTATTACTTGTATATTACCTTATCTTTAACAGTCTCTTCCTTCATAGCTTTTGGTTCTTTGTCTTCCTTAACTTTAGACTCTTTATCTTCCTTATTCTTGACATCTCTATCTTCCTTGACATTGCCATTGTTAGGTTTCTCTTTCTCTCTAGGCTCCTTGTTCTCTTTCACAGCGCGCCTCTCGGATGCCTTCTTTTCTATAGCAGGTGATTTGATAGATGGAGTTTTACGTTCGTCAATGAGCCTGTGAAGTAAATAGTTTCTGTATTACTGTTGTCGTTCACTTTATCATGTCGTTTGTCTTCCGTAGACAAACTGGGATATGCAACTAGCAATATAATAAATATATAGCATGCTAGTTTCGAATTTTTAACTTAGTAAGTTATGCAAAGAAATTGTCAACTGCGTATTTACATATGTTATAGCGTCAAGAGCATGTCAAGCCTGAGGCTTAAGATTGAAATTCAAGTCTAGTCGCTTGCTTGTTGTGCACTTGACTGTACAATATGACATCTGATATTTTTGTTGCATTGGTAGAATTGGAGTTTACCTTAGTTTAGAAGCAGAAGTGTGGAGTTGCGGTCGTCTATTTCGTAACGTTTCCATTGCTTTAGCTGGAGTCTTAGTTGATTCCGAACGGGTGCTATTAGTCTTTAAAAATTATAATAATAAATCAGAAGATTAAACAAAATTCACCTGGTTTTTGCAAGACTAAAATAAAAGTTTCAGCTAACACTTTGGTGACTAATTTGTTTGTCAAAAGTAGGCATGCATTAAGAGTCGATACAATCTCAAATGGCTTTGGTTGATTCCACATAACAGTGAGTGTTGAATCAATTACTTTGGAAAAAAGTATATAGTAAAATTGAGGATATGCACTGATTAGTATACAGTGTGAAAACACGATTCTTAAAAATTTGCATGATGGCAAAAAATCCAAAACTAATAAGTTCGTAATTTTACAAGGAAACCGTTGTATTCAATAGGTATTTTACATATACCAATGACTTTGTTTATATCAACAAAGCACGTATAGTATATGGTATACATTTTTCAAATGGCTATAATTTCGGTAAAAAAATAAGTTCTGAAATAAAGCCGTCCCTACCGGTCGATTCAAACAAAATTAACCATATTAGTACAGAAAAAAATTTGAATTCGTCCTGAGGTAGTATCGACTCTTAAGGTACGAATATGTAATATAGGTAAAGAAAAAAATGGTGGGTTTTTGAAGTTACGAGCACAGTTTTTACAAAGATGAATTTTTTTTTTTAATTCATGGATAGTCTTCTAGAACCGTTTTCCTGTAACTACAACGATTAAGGCCTTGATGCCCCGTCTCAAATTTACACCCTGTATATTGGAGAAAAAACGAAGAAAGAAATAGTGATGAAGAAAGTTAGAACTATATTCCTTATTTTAAACCAAATTTCAAGACTTTATCCTGAAAATTTCACTAATTACGAATTCAAAGTTATTGCTCAAAGTGATAGAACATAATGTTATTTAAGACAGTAAAACATAAATATTGACTCCCGCCGTTTAAAAGATTATTTAATAAACCCAAATAAGTGAACTAAGTTATTTAAGAGAAAGTGAAAACATAATGTATTAGAATTTAGAACTACAATGGCAAATATTACTGAGGATCCCGATAATTAAACGAAGACATGGCTCAAAGGATTTGTATCCAAGCCAAAACTATTAATAAAAAAAATATAGGTAAATAGACGAATACATAATTTTTTATTCTATTAGGTCACTTGAACTATATCTTATTATTAGAAAGAAAATATTCGCAGTCGAAGTTAAGATAAACATACCCTTTTCAATTCCTGTAGTTCTTTCTCGAGTAAGCGCAGCGATTTGTCGCTGGCGCCACCGCAACTGCTGCTCTCCACTTTGGTATTTTTGTCCTTCTTTGCAGTTGCCCCTAGAGTTTCTGCCGCTTTGCGTTTTATTTCTTCGGCTTTCTTCAATATATTAGCTAACTGTAATTGCAAGCATAATCAAGTTTTGTTAGGCCCTTGAATCATTATATCCATGTAGCCAGTATTACAGTATTATTCTTCAGAAGACTGTTGACGATGTCTTCGAGAAAGTTAGAAAGTTGTAACAGTGGAGCACCTTGTGAAAGAGATCGTTCGTTCAGGGAAGTACTGCCACCTTACCTATTTCTGCCGCCAAGCAGTAATTCGAGTATTATTGCGTTCCGGTTTTGATGATGCTGCTGTTGAATTTATGTCCGATGCTGATGAATTTACAGGCACATGGGAGTTGTCAACTTATGTTTCAGGGTAAGGGGCGTAGTGGGAGTGCCCCTCAGATCTTTTGCGATTTAAAGCTCGGAGTGGCACTGCAACTGCTATGAACAGGCGTGTGGCTTGCCATCAGGCGCACGACATGTTTGTCCCGCCACTTGACATTATAATAATCTCAATACACAGTACTTCACTTAGTTTGCCACCCTTAGAGGTGGAATATTTTCTTCAAATTCAAACAGGACCACTACCGAGGTACCCTCTTTCCAACAAAAAAAAAAAAATCATCGAAATCGGTTAACAAATTTATCGCGTATATTAATAAGTTATCGCGTAACAGACATAAAAAACATGCAGTCGAATGGAAAACCTCGGAACGGAAAGTCTTTTTTTGAAGTCGGTTAAAAAGTTGATATGCTTATCAATAGAAATAAAGGATGAACATTAGATGAATAGGCCAAGAATTGCGCCTCACAACATGAAAGTAAAAAGTAAACTGGAAGTGTGGACATTTTTATAAAGCGTCTAGCTCTTAAATGCGAGAGGATTGTATGCGGTTGAGTTTCACACTCTGAGCGCGTCGCAGCGCGGTTCCATGACTAATTTTACAAATTATATATAAACATGTACTTTTAAACTACAGTTTACCTGACTAGCGGTGCCCTTAACAGTTTTGACTTCAATGGGTTTGGAAGTTGCAGTTTCCATGGCCTCGAGTTTAGCGGGGACCGTCTTTGGTGGCGACTTGCGTGTTGGGGGTAGAGGGTTCGTCGTTGGTAGTTCTGGCAATGTTGCTTCAGTGTCACTATCTGTAAAAAAGCAAAATACAGTACAGTAACGAAAAAACTTTACCAGCAATAGCTTAATAATAAGGTGTCAGACAAGAAAATGCATGGGAACTCAATACTATGAATCCTCCAGGATGTGAATGCATTTACGACAATGAAGTCCTCTAATATTTTTTGGCAGATTCTCTCGGAAATCATGCAGAGTGTAACATGAAGGCTTCAGATGGAGGTCTTAGACAAGACAAGGTGCTCCATATTTGAATCAAAACCTTTATTATTATTTAAGATTAATATGGCAAAATTTACCTTCGGAATTAGTGGTGTCCATCTTTTCTTCCTGCTCTGCGTGCACTGGTAGCTGCAAAAAACAAATACAGATTCTAATTTAATAATTAAAACAAATCTATTTTTCAAACTCCTACATATAGCATTAATAGGGCATCGAGCACGGGTTTACCCGGGGTTTCCCGATTCTGATGGTTACAAGAAACCCGGATTTTATCTAAAAAGCCCGGGTTTTTCGAGTATTTTACTTAATTTTTTTGTTATTTATTATGTATAAACCACTTCGAATACAATAATAAATGTAATAAAAACACGCTTTGATAAATAATTACGTGTAAAGAAGCGTAGTTGCCACGTTTCTTCCCTATCAAACAACCAAGAAAACAAGCAATATATAAAATGGAACGTGCTCTCTCACGCCATTTTGTTTTGTCGTTCCGCACGCGCGATTTGTGATACTAAAAATATATTTTTTGAAGATATTATTAGCCTTTAAGTGCAATAACTGATTCATACCAAAATGATATAATTAATGTTAAAACTGATCTCTGACTTCCAGAGATCAGTTTTAACTGCTACATTACTAGATTATATTATATTATATACTAAGATATTCTGAGAAAAAGGTTTCTTTAAGACTTTATAAAACGTCTTGTAATTTGGAAAGTCCTGTTTCATTTATGATAATCCTTCCTCTCCTCATCCTTTGTTCCATTGTACCCGGTTTTGACTATACTATGACCCGAAAACCCGGGTTTTGAAAATTGGTCCGGGTGTCGATGCCCTAAACATGACTCAGTATTAAGGTACATTGATGCATACCATGAATCCCTCTGGTTTCTTTATTTCTATCGCTATGTGGTCGCCCTCTTCTTTGACTGAAAATAATAATATAATATTAATTTTAAAACAAGAGAGAGAGGAAAAAAAGACAATGTACTGTTTAGACGACTTTAAATAAAACTTATTGTGATTAAGATGTTAAAGACATCTACCATTCTGGAATTATGATTGTGATTCGTGTATACATTCATGTAACAGTATTGTTACAGTAATTATAAGAATCAATACTATTAATTTCTTACCGTTGATCCCATTTCCTTCTTCGTCTTCTTCGTCATCCATATCCATTGAAGAGTCATCAGGTTCCTGTTTACAATTTGCAAGTTTATTTATTTACACAATTCTAAAATTTAATTAATAATAACAACGCACACACACTCATAGGCCCGCACTAGGGAAACCCGGGATCGCTGGTGCCACGGACACACCACGAATTACACCAAAACTTACGAGAGAAAGAACTGTAAGTCATACAAATATTTTTCCCGGCCCGGGAATCAAACCCAGGACCTCTGCGTGGAAGTCCAGCATGGTAACCGTTCGGTTACGGAGGCAGTTTTAAATTAGTTTGTGATGAAACTATGTACTATAACACAATGTTTGGAAAACATGTGATGTCCTCAACCCGATTGGGGCAAGCATGTTGGACTATAGCTTTATACACTCTCATAGAGGAAACCCATGCCTAACAATGTAACGTACGGGTCGATAATAATGAATTTAATCGAAATTATTGCAATTACCATACTAACTTGTGTACTACGGAATTCTTCATCATGAGCGGCGATGACATGGTTTTCCAGTTTCTCCTTCGATGTGAACACAAGCTCGCAGAAGTCACACATGAACTCTACACCTAAAGGAATAGACGCGAATATGTAGTTGACGTAGACGTTCCACTTGTCTGGCAATTTTATTGAGAGGCATTTAAATGTTGTTGCATAATAAATAGAATTCACATTCGCCTTTAATGTACATCAAGGCGTGGTAACTGGGCGCTAAGTCTATGTTGCGAGTAGAAGGAATAAACGAGTTGAACCAATTCGAAAAACAAACTTTTTTAAGTTGGTCCTGGGTCTGGGTGTCCTGTGTAGAGCCCCTGACCTCATAATATAGAGAAATTTTGCACCAGGTGTGATTGGCTGTCATATTATTCATATATTATTATATAATGCGGCGGAACGGAATGGCGAATTTTTGTAACGATATTGTACATAGCATAATGAACTTTATGGTCAATTGTGTAACTTATAAACTAGATACGAGTCAAAATCTACCGTGGAATGCACGAGCATTTTCGAGCATGTGCGAGAATTACGCGGTATATTTTGGCTCGTATTTAATTTATACATTACACAATTGACCATAAAGTTCATTTGCTATGTACATTATCGTTACAAAAATTCGCTTCCATTCCGTTCTTCCTCAATATAAACTGAGTCAAAGAAGAGCAGACATTGTTTGTTCCACTGAATTGCACACTCCCATAGATTCGTTTGTTTTCTTGGTAGCATTTTGTATATTAAAATAATAAAATTATTATAACTTTAAAACTTATTCTTAGGATATGAATAACTATTCATATCCTAAGAATAAGTTTTAAAGTTCAATATAAGAAAACCATACAAGACGGTTAAAAGGGTTAAACTGCATATCTGTTGTTACGTAATGTTAATAATAGTTAGATGCTAGCCATTGTAATTAATGTTTTATTGTATTTTTTTTAAAGTATGGTTAAAACCAAACTAATGTCAGTTAAATAAGCTTACATACCATTGATATGAGATTTAATGTGCGCAGTGACACCGTCGACGTTCTGAAACTTCTCTTGGCATAGCGGGCAGGTGAGGTTCTGCGTCGCGTGGACGGCTGAGTGGTAGATCAACTCGTCTTGGTTTGCGAACGTGTCCGAACATTGCTCGCAAGGGTATTGCTCCAGTTCTATCGATGGCTCTTGATTTGGATGTTTCACGCGGACATGTCTGTAAACAAACTCGTGTGAATGTTATTATGCATAGGACAAATTTTAAATGAAATTTGTTTCAAAAGTATTAAAAAGACTGCAAAACATTAGTTTGCATATTGCAAAAATGTGCAAATTCTACTGAGTGGGAATTTTGATAACAGATTCTTATTTATTACGCAACTTTTCAGATCAGGTGCCCTTAAACGCAGTGGCTATTCTGAAGTGGTGCGCCACAGCTAGTTGCTTAACTGTCAAAATTGTTCTGATGAAAATTTTATCTTACATCCTTGATACATGATTTGATCTTATTTCAGCATAAATTTTATTTAGTGAAAGAGGATTAGTTACCTGGTATAATGATGAGATTTTGTGAAAGCTTTGTCACAGTATTTGCACGGGTACGGTCTTTCGCCTGCATGGGAACGCACATGCCGAGTCAACTTCGACACTGTGGAAAATCCTGAAAGGTAAAAAGAAAACATGTATTACAATACTTCTTATCATGTTTTCATTCAGGACCATACTTATTTCACATACGCGTTTTCGAAATATCGCAGCGAAATGGAGCTGAAGTGAACACAAGTGATCAAACACTTGGCAATAATAATTGTATGGACTTTTATTTTACAAAAAGGAACATCAAAGAGAGAATTAATGATTATTTATAATGCAAATTTCGACAAACGCGTATTACATCTAATTGCGCATGTTCATAGCTTAGCATTTAAAATTAATGTTGAGAGAAATGATGAGCTGTGCGTTTTTCATTTTGACTCACGCTCGGGACAGTATTCGCAGGAGAATTCCCGTCGGTTTCTGTGTACAACCGCCAAGTGACGGTCCAGTGTGCAGTTAAGGCGAAACCTGTGGTCATCGAAGGAATTAATTATGATATAACATTGAATATAATAAGATTTATGACATATGTAATAAGTTGGTAGTGTAGTTGGGAGAACTCTTGTTTTCCTGCGTTGGAGTTAAGTTGGATACCTATCATTCCCACCACTAAAGCTTTTCGAATTATGTGCAGTTTTACTCTACATCATGATGAAAGAAAACAGCGTGATGAAACTTGCATGTCGGAGAATATCCACAAAACACTTCGAAGAGTGTCTCCAAGCTGCATTTGGTCAGGAAGACTCAAGGCGTAAAATCGTCTCTTTAGAGGACATACATAATATCCTGGGATGGCAGTAAGTGCGCCAGTTAAGTGTACATATTATAGTTTCATTTCCTACGTACATAGTATTTTATAATTTCGCATTCACTATACGCAGCGGACAACGTAACATTGTTGTAATAATTTTTAGTCATCTTTCACACAAAGTATTTCCTGATTTATAATAGTCAATATTGGGTTGGGTACAATTATTTTTTTTTACTGCTGGAAAACTTCACAAGACAAAAATAATTATGTATGTGTGTATGTATGTATGTACATTGTGTAACATATAATTTTAAGAAAGAAATAACTTTCTTTTAGCGTAACTTTTGCAAACACTAAAAATGTTAGCGGCGAAACGAAATTTTATTATGACAATTCTCTAAAGAAAAATATTTTACATTATTCTGAGAAGGGTTTAAATTTATTTTTTATATTTAATACTTACCTCTTATCACACAGCGAGCATGGGAAGGGTCGATCTCCGGTATTGCTGTGTTTCTGTTGGTGGGCTTCTAACTCCTCAGTGGACAAAAATGTTGCTGGACAGTGCGGGCATTTTTCATGGAGCAGGTCTGAATGCATTATCTAGAAATTAACACGCATTTATAACTATATTAAGGTCTTTTTTAGATGAAACAACATTGGGAGTCTGGAAGTGTCCCAATAGTGGTATTGGCGAGTGGAATGTATAAATGTAGGCACTATGATGGAAACACCTTAGATGCAGATTAAAACACGTTTAATTTGAAAAATTGAATATGAAACCGAACAAGGCAGCGCAGCGGAAGCAACTGCCAAAATTTTGCTAAGCAAAAACAGTCAAAAAGTATGTTATAAATCCAATGTAAATTTAAAAAAAGGAAGTACAAAAACGAAGGAGGCTGCGTCACAGCTGGTCGCCAACAAGTAGCAGTAACGTTATATTAGTGCGACTGCCGTGTGATTAGTAAACTGCATATCGTCGCCTTACTTTCTCAAACTCGTGTCTTAAATCACAAAGTAACTGAAATGCAAAACTTGGATTGTATACACAAATTTTGCAGGCTAATTTCACATCACATGTCCTTCATATTCACACACTGGCTTTTACTTATTCTTAAAGTAATGCATGCAAATTAACACCATAGATAAGAAATTTAAAATAAATAGAGATACGAGTTTGAGAAAGTAAGGCATCGACATGCGATAATAATAACTTGCAGGAAAAAAAATCGGATGTTGATTACTTTGTAAACGTAAATTGTGCAAGAAAACGTACGATATGATTGTCTGCGTACTTAATAACTCCTTAATAATAAAATGACTACCCCGCCCGGTGTATCAGACTGCAATGCAATCTGAATGCAAGTAGTTCCAGAGCGAAATTGAACATTATAATAAATTTGTATTCAAGGATACTGGAGGGGACTGCCTGGAGTCTTATTTATGAATCACCACGTTTGCGTTTTTTACACAATAATACATATTTTAGTATGAATAGTGACAAATTGACTGAAGGTTTTAAGTACATGGTGTCATTCAGAACTGCGATTTCGGAAACATATAGGTAACTAAAACAATTCAACATAATAGGCGACGAAATTGAAATAATGGCAATAACAATATTAATTCGATATAATAAATATAAATAAATAATTTATCTTACATCAGAAAAGGCCGTCGTCGAGGTTACACTACACTATTGACCTCGTGCAGGGCGATACGTTGGTTTTCGTGGGCAATAAATATGATCCAATTTCATCGACAATAACAGCCCAACATTTTTCTACCTACGCAGATGGTTCGATGTTTACATATGCAGCACAATTAATTGCAATTTCCCATTGATTACCTTAGTAATGTATGTTATCACATACTGCACAAAAACATGTTACTTACTTTTTCATGCCTCTTTAACAGTGATTGACGTTTGAAAAATCGGTCACAACCAGAGCACTTGAAGGGCGTCTCGTCAGAGTGCCGCAACTGGTGCGTTGCTAAATCGTACTTTGTGAAGAATTTTCTGCAACAAAACAGTGTCATTATTATTATAAATAAAAGTCGATATAGGTGTAGAAATGAAAATACTTTAATTATTACGTCAGGCAGGTAGCTTACGAAGTCGTACCAAAGTCAAAGAATGATTTATTCCACAGGAAAATAAATTTACATTTGAAAACGTCACATTTAAGCTACTTTTAAGCTACTGCTCGTTCACTACGCGTACTTCCCTGAGAAGAACGAGCAAGAAACTCTAGGGATTGCTTTTTTCAAATAAACTTAAATGCTATGGAATACGCTATGAATCAAATTTGTGTAGATTCTGGAGCCATGTCATCTTTCCATACATTTTTATCTAACAGGTACTCTTCAATTTTGTAACTTTTCAATCAAAATAATTTTAATGTAGTTTTTAAACTTAGGAAATGACAATCTTAATATATGCTCCGGAAACTTATTGTAAAAACATATACCGTTCCCCATAGAAGAGTTGTTTACCTTGGTTAAACGAAACCGGGGTACCCTGGGTTTGGACTTAGCTCTAAGGTTAATATTATGGATATCTTTTTTCTCGTTGAAATTATGTCTATTTTTACGGGCATATAAAATATTTGAGTAAATGTGCTGTGATGCCCCCCTATTGATACCCTAATCATTGCTTCAAAAAGCGTGTTTCGGTCAATTGTAAAAAAAATGTAGAAGTCAAGCGTCATGTAGTAGCTTCTGCAGTACTTAGGTGCGGTGGCAGAAAACCATACAGGTAATACGACAGTTTAATAAAACATAATGTACTTAAACACCTGTGTTACGGCGATAAATCCACAAAATAGTAGCTCACGTCTCACAATTGTCGCAGGAGACGGTACGGGTGCGATGTTTCGAGACTACGTAGAACTTTAGTACCTATTGGAATGGATATGTGCGATGGTAGTAAACGCACGTCAATATTGGTAACACGATGATTCAATACAACATTTAAACCCCAGTGTTATGATCATATTTGCAAAAAATGGATACTGCCACGTCATATCTATCGAAGGCAGTATGATTACGACGTTTCCATACTATGTAGACGTTGATGCAGTGCGTAGGCTCGGTGGCAGTAAGACCACGCCAACATTGGCAATATGACGATTTAAAAGAGTCATATTCAAAACTCCTTTTGAATATGACTCGGTCTTTCGGTTTCGAATATGATTTCGGTCATATTTGCAAAAACATAATAAATCACTCCTCATTACATATATCTTTAGTACCTGCAGCATCAAATGAATATGTTCGATGGCAGTACGGATGCCAACATTGGTAAAGTGGTAGTTCTTCAATACAACACACTTAAACTTGTTGTGTTACTGTCATAATTACTAAAAACAGAAATTGACACGCCATATTTATAGAAGGGGCCAGAACGTTCACGATGTTTCCATGCTATATGGATGTTTAGTAGCTGATGTAGCACGTTGGTGAGGAGGTAATAAGCTCATGCCAAAATTGGCAATATGACGGTTCAATACATACACACATATTCAAAACTTCCCGTGTTACGGACATAATTGAAAAAATTGTAACTCACGCGATACATTGACCGCAGGAGACAATACAGATACGATGTTTCGATACTATGTAGATTTTTAGTAGGTGCTGTTTTAATAGAAAATGACGCGACATGTTTATCGAAGGGGTCAGAACGATCATGTTTCCATCCTATATGGATCTTTGTAAGCTGATGCAATAGGAGCAGTAGCAGTAAAAGCACGCCAACACTGGTAATATGACGGTTCATTATATACACATTCAAAATTCCCTGTGTTACGGTCACAGTTACAAAAACTAGTAACTCACGCATCACATTGGTCGCAAGAGACAGTACGGGCACGATGTTTCGATACTATATGGAGCTCTAGTAGTTGCTGCAGAGGAAAAGTCCGGTGGCAATGATTGCATGCCCAGCACCCATCAGTCAATCCGCGCGCCTGTTGTCTGTCCTCCTGCTCCAGCTCGAATGGTGACAAGTCCTCTTCAGAATCTGCACCACACTTATACGTAGTCACGCCAGTAGCCATATCGATAATAAAATGGCGAGAAATTAATTTTAATTAAATTTAGATTTATTTATGTATGTTATGTACCTTATTACCCATATTGTCAGTTACGTGTTCTTGTCATGTAATGTAAATTCGATAAACCATGCAGTATTTAAGTTATTAAGATGGGCAGGGCAAATGAAGTTTCTGTACTGTGAAGGCGTACTTGACTAGGCTATGACTCCCCAACTGTTCGTTAAATGTGTAATAAATATACAAGCGATCACGTTACTTTTGAACGTCAATGTGGTGGCGTTGGTACTGTATTGACATTGATGTCCATATTGTCAGTAAATTCTTTGAAATTGACGTAATCCAAACGTAACGTGCTAGCTTTAACATAATTGGTTCAACATGCTGTACATCTTTCTTGAAGTTAAAAAAATACAAAACTCACCTTCAACGTCACGTTGAAATTACTTGAATTAAAAAGAAAACAAGCAAAAGAAATGATAGGACATATTCTCACACCATTTAATATTTTCATTAAAATAAATATATCGGGAAAAGCTACATTTAAATAAGATTTGCAAGTGGAAGAGTGAGAGTATGTTCTAAAATTAATACATCTGAAACAAATGTACATACATGCTGCTTATTAAAAAGGAGACATAAATAGTTTTGATTACTAAGAACTATTAGCAAGCTATGAACACACGCAAATACGGTGTAAGTCGGCTGGAATGTTATGAAAAAAATCACCGAACATTTATTTCGCTTACTTAACTAAAAGCAGGTAAAGATTTTTCAAACTGGGTGTGTCTCGTCAAACTGACGTGTTTAATTTGTAACTTGTGCAATCTCTGATATTTAATGTTGTACTAGCAGATAGTGAATTCGATTCCCTTACAAAATTTAAAATACCTCGAGAAATCATAAAGCTAGGAATTTTAAAATTATACAAATGAGGAGTTGGCAACAAAAAACAACAACTGCAATAAAGTACCCATTTAATAATAAAAAAAAATTACAATATAGTTTAATATTGAATAATGCAAATGTACTTGATAATGAGCCTAGGATCCTCAAATGAACACATGTTGTCAAGGATACATTGTTCCCTTTCAAATAAATATTGTCATGTCATTATGATGGCTAATTTGGATTCGACGAGTAGAGCATATCGCGATAAGCGGATACGTTACATTATAATACAAGTGTCTACTTGAACGTCAAACTTTGTTCAAAAACGTGCTGATCGTAGAGTATTTATATTGCAATTTTGTTGCGCCAAATCGACTAGTCTATTAGCCACAAATATCCCAGTTTACAGTCACTTTACCTTATAAATGCCATAAAGTGTTTCACGTCCCAGTCAACCGTTAAGACTTGGAGAGTGCGCATAAGAGCTGGCGAGAACAATGTATTTACTACGCATTACTGAAACGCGATATGGGGATGTAAGCCTCGCAGCGACTCGTGTTGGTTCTTGTACTCATATAACATTAGATCAAGTGAGAAAGGGAAAACACGGTTACTGCTGCTGTTGTTGAATGTAACTTAAGCTTAAGCATAAATAAAACCACAATTAATAAAAAAAATTGTGCCAACTAATTTCTTTGTTTACTACTTCCGAATATTAAATTAAAACGTACACTATTCCAGGAGTTTACGAAATTTCTATTTAAAAGTACTGTACTACAATATTCCATACAGTGTGCAGTGTTCACGCCAACTCTTGTATTGCGACCTGTATGAAATTGTTGTAATATGATAAGTTTTATTGTTATACTCACCTGAACCACGCTTGGGTTTGCTTTTGATATTTTGTTCTTTGCCCTCCACGACTTTGATACATGCTGAGTCTTCGTCTCCATCTCCTATCTGTGGAAGAATACATAAAATATATATGCAAGAAACAAACAAAGGCACTAGCTATAATGGTGATATTAATTATTTACTTTATCATTGGTTTGTTAAAATCATAACTGAATGGTTTGTACGGTAAATGCCTTTGTGATTGTTCCCTCCAGTGAGCACGAGTAATATTCAAGATGTGTTTTTCCTTTAGTTATAAGACTGTCCTTTTAAGTGCTTAGGACTTTTAGATGTTGGGGAAATAAGCTAATTGCTCTTTGTATCGATAAACAGTTTCTTCCTTAACTTTGTTCATGCAAATTTTAAGTATCTGTACCAATCCATGATGCTTGCATAATAGTCCTTAAAATAATGTTATGCAGCCTTTATATTGTCTTTATGTTGAAATACCTGGCACTACCCCAAAGTTACACCTTTGGGATAGTGCCAGCTATTGCATTCATACTGGCTTCAAGATTATTATTCAGGGTCTGTTGTGTACTGCAAGCGGTAGTTGATTTCTTGTAATCATCACTAACTACAACTCAAAGTCAGAATTAATAGAACTGAAATTGAAGAAATGTAGGTTTTCTCACGTTCGGGTAAATGTTTGACTAAGAATGAGGTGCAGTTGAGCAGATGACAGTACATCAAGCTACACATTTTGTTTTGTTAGATTGTTACATAGTTGGAGGTTTAATACACATTTGAACAAAAGTGTATAGGTTGATGTGCTGTTGACTGTAAACCTAAGTACTTTTTAAGTTTTTATACTTTTAAACATAATCTATACCTCTGTAGCAAACTGCAGCAGTCACTATAAAACTTTTAGTATATTTATAATCTTTTGTTATCAGTTTAGTTTTACATATTTAAACATACTTGTTTAAGGCGCCTTTTCTTTGATTTGCCATTGTTTTATCTGCTTTTCAGGCTTGTGCACATCTTATTATTTTACATGTTTTAAATAAACTGTAAGTGCTTTCCTTAGTAACTGTAAGCTCACTTCTCATTAGCACCGGAATGTCATTTTACAGTTTGCTACTCTCTGATTTCACTTAGCTTGAGATTAGACATATAATTTCATGCAAACGTGTCTTATGACAGTAATAATAGGTTTTCGAATTTCTGCCCAATGCCAAAAACTTTATTTTTTTCTAATATCACGTGACGGGACAAACAAGATTGTACACCTGATGGTAAACTACACGCCTGTCCATAACAGTTGCAGTGCCAGTCAGAGCTTTAAATCGCAAAAATCTGAGGGGCACTTGCACTGCGCCTATAACCCTGACACATCAACCAGAACACAGTAATGCTGTCATTACCGCAAGTGGCAGTACTACTGTGGACTGTACTCCTTCACAATGAGCTCTATTGTTAGAAACATTTCTAATGTCAATTAGGGTTTTCATGTCTTCAAGAATTGGCTTGGATATTAATAAGTTTTCAAAGACAGTATTCTAATGTCTTTTAGTCAAGTAATGCTGATATGAACTGTACAAATTATTGTAATACTTAAGTATTGAGAAAGTGAAATTTACCTTAACATTATAAACATTTTCATCATCTTCCTCACTATCGCTGGCATCTTGTGAAGTAACTTCGACAGTAGCTCCGCCCTCCACTACAGTTTTAACCACTTTGGGCTTGACTCCTTGGCGGAATAACTGAAAATAATGAGGATGTTACACTAAACGAGTCATGAACTCATGTTAAAACTAATGTATATACATACATATGGATGCAAATTGTAAATCCATTGACAGTGTTCATTAACTGAACATCATTAACTGAAACTGGTTCGGTGTTTTTTGCATATGGCAAATACATATATTTATGCAGAAATATGACTGAGTTAAACCGAGGGTAAGAAGTGAGTGTAGGTATGATATAGGTGATAGATCTTTGTAGTTCAAAATATCTTCATTTATTTTAGGTAAACAGATTACACTTTAAACACGCATGTTTACGACACTATTGACCTTTGCTTGCTGTGGATCACTTTTTTTCGTTAGAGGAATAAGGAATTGTAGCAGTTACTCCTTTAACAAAATGCAATAATTATTACTGGAGTTGGCATTGAGTTTAAAGTAATTTTGTTTGTCTAAATTGTCCAAATGTTTCATTCCTTATGTATCTGAAGATTCTCTATTCAATATCTGATATTTACCTTAACCAGTGAAGAGGGCCAGGAAATTGGTTCCAGGGGAGTACCAGTTTGAAGGTAACTTAGTATAGAGGCATCTGCTCTGCGGCAAATCTGTTTGAACTCATAGAAGAGTTCCATGAAAAATTTACAGCGGCTGCACACATGCGGCGGCATCCGATCCGAGGGGAATATCTGAAAAATAAATATCATTTTTGCAAATTTACGCTCGCTTAGCTTGATTAGACTCCTCATTTGACCGCCAGAGGGCGCTCGTGAAAACATATTTCGTGATAATTCTGGACGTAGCTAGGAGAAAATAATATTGTAAACCAGGAAAATTGCAGTAAATAGTTATCTCTTTCTAACAATATGCAATATCACACTAGGGAAAGGACAATAACTTTGTATAGTGCCTTAGATGAATCGGCGCCATTACAGTTACTATTACGTTTGGCCACAAAGTCAATCTTATTCGATTTCTATACTGCAAATTCAACGCAAATGATTATGATTAAATTAATCGTAAATTAGGAAACTACTTATTCTTACCTCCACTGCGATGCATGCTAATACTTTCAATGCAAAAGGTACAGAATTTTTCGGTATTTGGATTTTTTCATGTAAATTTTTTAGAGATCCATCTTGAGACAAACAAAAACGACACGCTCTAAAAGCACTCAAAGTGTCTTTTCTTTTTTCCATTTTGGCGAACTTACTATCAACTCACTAGGAAAAGTAGATTTTTCTAAAATAATTCACTCCATAACCTCTACACTCTACAAGCTAAAGGCACACTAGCGCCACACAAAACAACTGTCCGAAGGTGAACTATTCGTACAAGTAAAGGGACGCCAAACATGTAGCGCCATTAGCGGGGAAAAGTGGTACTGTAACTAAAAACTTTTTCTACTACTCTATAGATCGCAGCACTTGTTGAATGGTATATCCGCAATTCGACGATTCGTTCGTGTCGCCTTTTTTCTTTTTTGGGTGCGTCCAGAATGCAAGTGCCTACCCAGTAAAATAAATTTCATTCCACCGGTTTATAAAACCTTATCTAATAACTGGTTGTTACACGATAATATCATGGACCTTAAAGTAAATATGTCGTGTCAGTCGTGCTTGTTTGCCTATTATCGTGTTTGTCCAAGTCTCGTTTTGTATAGATTCCGTCAGAGTAGAAGTTCGTTAAGGCCTCTCACGACAACTATTTTGATAAATAAAATGTGAAAACGATTAAATATTGTTGCAAAAATTTAAATTTAGAATAACATTCATTATTTCGGACAATCAGTTGCTTAGTTTCTCTGTTCACTTTGTCTACATAAGTTTAAAGTCCAGTAAATATTTTCAATAAATTTGAATTGTACAAATTAAACAGTAAAAGATATATGAAGTATGGGTATGGGAAGGGTATGGGTTAAAAAATACATGAAGACTGAATAAGGTATAATTCTTTTATTACACGTACCTACACTGAACGTTTTATTCCAATATTCGTATATTTTTATTAAATAATTCCGCTCGAAGTTTTTTGTATAAAGATGATATTCTACTATCAGCCTCCGTAGCATGGCTATATGGCTATAGCGCATGGTAGTCGCGACGCGCGTGATTAAATTGAAATAAGCGCGTGCTTCTGCATACTTCTGCAGGACAGCCGTCGGCGTCGTGGTGAAACAAATGGGAATGTATTAAATAAAATAGGGTGAAATAGGCCCCGAAAACTTAAGGGTATCCCAATGGATTTCAAATTCTATTTGTGTATATTTCAATAGAACATCCCCTACTTACCTAATTCTGCCGCGAAGCAGTAATGTGAGCATTACTGAGTTCCGGTTTTGAAGGGTAAAGGGTGCTGGTGAAATTACAGACACGTGGGACTTGTCAATTTATGTCTCAGGGTGACAGGCGCAGTGGCCGTGCCCCTCAGATCTTTGCGATTTAAAGCTCTGTGGCACTGCATTGGACCTAAATCCACTGGATTGTTTTATTGGGGCTGGTTTAAAGAAACAGTTTACAGTAAACTGATTGGGTCCTTGGAAGACTCATGCAGAGGTGTCCGTGTAGCCCATCGAGTATATAACGTATTGTTATATACTCGATGGTGTAGCCGCTTTAAGAATTAGTGAAGGACGCTATTATACGCGACTGTCCAAGAGAGCTTTTGTTCGCGTATGTAGCAATAAAGCCTGCAATAAACTCGGTGGAAAACAATTTCAAAATTGTGCTTATTTGATATTGTTTTTGATTAAACCTGTACAATTCAATGTACAATTCAAGACAAAACAAGTTCTTATTTTGAAAATAAATCTAAAATTTCGCTCGTTAAGTACCGCAACCTTAGAATAATAACGCATAGAAACCTAGTCCGCACACGCTAAGTGAGGCAAATTGAAGCGCTCCCAAAGGGCCTACACGAGCGGGCGGGCCTTCAGTGCTCAAGGTCAACTTGCACCGCGAACAGCTCAAGAATTTTAGCTAAAAATGACGAAATGTGCGGTAAATGAGTGTAAAAATACGTCAGACAAACATAAAATAGATACTAACATCACATTCCACAAGGAAGTAACGCATCAACTTGTATTTTTATATAAATATTCACTAAAACCGAAAATTAATTTCGTTGCAACAAGACACGAAAATGCCTACATGAATTTGATTTTTGCCTCACTTGTGACAGTTCGTTTGGTATGAAACTATCCTTCTATGCGTTATTATTCTAAGACCGCAACACAATCGCGTGTAACTTTTAAAACTTTTTCGATAACTGTTAATATTATGTATGGCGGGTTTTTGTGCTTACAGTATATACATAAATTAAGTTTTTAATTTAAATATTATTACCTTTTGAATTTCTTAATTATTTTGTTACCGTTTAAGATGTTCTATAGCTAATGCATGGTCAGTGTCATAAATCAACGTTATGACTATTTTTTTCCATGTTCTAAGCTTAGAATAATAACGCATGGAATATAGTTTCAT